GACTTTAATTTTCATGTTACTGTTATTGTAGGATGATAGCCTTATCAACTCTATCAGCAAGGGAGGCCATGTTTGTTACTCTTTCAAAGTAACACCCCCACAGAGGATCTATTTTTATATGGGATTCTGAAGTAGCTGTCGTAGGTTAGCCCTTTATCTGGCAGTCACAAAGAGTGTCTTCTAAGCTGACGTTAGCTAGTTCAAGCACTTAAGTGTTGTGAGAGAGCTGGATATTTTTGTCAGATGATAAAACCTTTGCTGTTCTTAACCACTTTTAGGAACACTAGCATTAACGCAAATTGTTTTCAAGACATTAGGTGGAGGTATGACTTTGATTTGAATGGTATTTTCTGATAAATTTGCCAATCTTTCAGCAGCTTTCCATATTCCTTCAACCTCATACACAAGGCCATTTTGATCAAATAACTACATTTCAACTCTTTTCTAAATGACCTACGAGCAAAGAATAAATTTTTAATTTATTGTAAAAAGAGTCTTTACAATCACTCTTAGCTCCTAATTCATAAATAATGCTTCTCTATAATTGTATGAAATTAATGCTTGATATGAACTGAAAACTAGTATCTAAATATTAATAATTCCTCATAGTGCATGTTATCACCCACCACACCAGTTACCTGCAGTTTATATGAAGTTGTGCATGGACTCATGCCTCTAGCCTGGCCCTCTAGCCTTAGGGCCACTAGACAAAAAAAAAACAGAGGGATTGATGATATTTCATTGCTGCTTCTTCCTTAGAAGAAAGAGTGGTCTCAGGAATTCTTTTCTCCCACTGTAAAGAACATGCTTAGTAACTAATTTGTGGAAGCTTGAATGTTGTGTTATATTAATTTACTAGAGTTATTGTCAAAAGCTCAACAACATTGCTGTTTGCTTGGCAATTCTAATATCCTTTAGCTTTCTACAGAGTGCAGTTCCCATGCTCTGATTGGTTGTACTCATTTATGTTACTTCAAAACCTAATTGGCATATTTCCCTATCTCTTTTGTGTTCAGATTTTTCTGCATTTCCTAAAATTATTTATTTTAAGTGAAAAATTTATTGATGCAAAAGATAAAGAGGACAGATGTGACATGCGCTTGACATAAAAAAACAGAATTCCTAAAATAAGATAGCTCAGATATTTTTTGAAGTAATTGTTCCTGGACCAAACTGAAGGTCGGGGTGCTTTTCCTCATGGCCCAGTAACAAGATGCAGATGAACTGGGAAAGAAGATAGTTTTTATTTCTGTAGCTGGGTACAGAAAGAAGGCCTGGAAATTTTTGCCAGACTAACTCAAAATTACAAAGTTTTCCAGAGCCGATATACCTTCTAAGCTATGTCTATGTGTAAGTGTGCATTCATCTACAGACATAAGTGATTAACTTCTTCTAATCTATGATTAAGATGTGAGTCCTGAAGACCTTCCTCTGGAAGGTCTTTTACCTTTAAATTTAGATTAAGTAAATTTACCAGTAAATTTACCACTAAATGGGTCCAGGTGTTGGGGTGATTACCCTTATCTTGCCTCCTGCTAAATCATGGAGGTTTTTGGAGTTCCTTCGGACCCCCAAGAAACCTGTTTGTGGAGGCCTGAAGAGTTTCTTCAGACCCCTAATAAATCTGTTTTAATCCTAAATGGATCCTGTTAAGAACTCCTTCATTATCTTGTCATGCTGCAAGGCCCATGAAAGGCCTAGGCAAAACTCTTGGTGGGCTTTTGTTACATTCCAGCCTGGTTCTATCAGCTTTTAACATTTAACTTAACCACTCAGTCAGTGCTGAAACAGGCCTGCGTTAGTGAGACCTGGCCTGCGCAGTAAGGCGAGGAATAAGTAAATTTAGTAATGAAAATCTAGAAGAAGAATATAATGAACAGCGAAGAATAGAACAGATATTTTGAGATTAGATACTGAAATAGGAAGAAAAGTAGAAGAAGCAAAACTTAAAATAAGTGTTACTCTTGAAGAGTTTTAAATTCTCATAAAAACTGAAAAGACAAAGAAAAGGCGTTAAACTCAGCTACATTTTTCACACTCTAAAGATACTCACCATGAAAGATTTAGGACTATAGAAGAGGATTGGAAAATGAAAGCTCTTAGGATTGCTTGTTTGTCATTATAACATCCTTGCTCTGCCCTGTTCTAATACCTCTGGAAAGTGTGCTAGTAAGAACACTTGTCTCCATGTCCTAAGAAAACCAAGTTATTTTTTGTTGGTATTTTAGCATAGGGTGTGTCTTAGTTCAGGCTGCTATAATAGAATACCATCAACTGATAAACAACAAACATTTATTCCTCACTGTCTAGAGGCTGGGAATTCCAAGATCAAAGTGCAGGCTGATGTTGTTCCTGGTGAGGGTGCTCTTCCTGGCCTACAGACAGTTGCTGTGTTGCATTCTCACAAGTCAGAAACAACCTCTCTCATGTCTCTTCCTACAAGGATGCTACTCCCAATCATGAGGACTCTACCTTTATAACCTAATTAACTCCCAAAGTCCCCACCTCAAACGCCATTACATTAGAGATTACCACTTCAACATACAGATTTGAGGGGGGACATAAACATTCAGTAATAGCAAGATATAAGCCTAATATATAAATTCCTTTTCTCTTAAGTCTACTGTTCTGTGGTATCCTAAAATACCTGAAAGGTTTCTTCTAATATATGTTATTTCCCAAGCCAGCTTTAAAATTCTGATTAAATTTGAGATTATAAGAAAAATATAGAAAAATTATTATTACAAACATTTTAAAACATAATTACAAATAAACTTTCTGTACTATAAAAAAGAATACAATGGGAGCTGGTATAACGGTAGAGATTTGAAAGGAAAACATGAAAAGACAAAAGAAGATGATGAAGAGAGAATGTAAATTAGTAACCTTCATTAACCAGTCTCCAGTGACCTTTTGCCCTAGTTTAAAAATGTTTAAAATTTTTTTTTTTTTTTGAGACGGAGTTTCGCTCTTGTTACCCAGGCTGGAGTGCAATGGCGCGATATCGGCTCACCTCAACCTCCGCCTCCTGGGCTCAGGCAATTCTCCTGCCTCAGCCTCCTGAGTAGCTGGGATTATAGGCACTTTATTTCATTAGAAAAAGTGACCTTTACTCATATAACCCATCATACACACCATCCAAAATGGCCTGAATATTTAATTAAAGTGGAGTTAAAATTGACTTAAGAGATGGCATAGTCCCAGAAGATTTAATATCTCCCAAAGATCTATTTTCTGGTGTTCCAAGTGGATACTCAATAGAAACTCAGTACCTAATTTTAAAAAAATAATAATAATTTGTTTTATTTTCTTTTTAGCACTTGGTCCAATAGCAACCAGTAAGCTCCTACTGTCTTTCTTTGTTTTCTCTGATCTTTTGTAGCACCTCAATTCCTGTATTGCACTGACACTTCTGTGTTTTTGGGTTTCATTTTGGTTTGGTTTAGGTCTTTCTTTCTTTCTTCCTTCCTTCCTTTCTTCTTTTCTTTTCTCTTCTTTCATTCTTATAAATCAAAGGCCCACAGAAACAAGAAACCACATAGAAAGGACCAAACACAAGTTGTTCTTCTGGTCAGAGAGTTAAGTTGCAAAAGAGAAGCAAGAGGAAATAATATTGGCAAAATATGCTGTGAAGACTATGGAAAATACACTAAGAAGTTTATATCACAATCTGAAGCCACAGGGTCACAAAACAAAACTCCAAAGATAAAAGGTAGGAATAATAAAAATGAGAAGATACAGCAAGTGAGAATAGAAGAAGGGACAGACTGCAAAATCCAAACAAAGAAAACACTCAAATGGAATTCAAGATAAAAAGCATTGATATTTGTCTTTTCCTCCATAAAGTTTATTACATCAAAACTTGGACCCCTACTGCTACAGAGATTAAGCCTTTTCTGAATTCTGCTCCTTGAAAGAACTGGGACTTGTCTCTCATAATAACCATGCAACTCACACACATTTATTTTGTGTAGGTCTAAATACACCAATTTTTTTAAAAGATTACCAGAATACATTAAAAATATGACCTAACTATATGCTATCTACAAGAAAGTCACTTCAAATTTAACAATAAAAGTAAAAAGAATGAAAAATATATGCCATGAAAGCATTATTTAAAAAAAAAAAAAGGCAGAAGTGGCAATATCAATATCACATAAAGTGAACCTCAATGCAAAAAAAAATTACCAGGGACAAAAGAGGAACCTTATATCATGATAAAAATATCAATACATCAAGAAGACATAGAAATTCTACATATGTATGCACCAAACAATAGTGTTTCAAAATACACTGAAAAAGAAACACCTACTAGAACTGAAGAGAAACAGAAAAACCCACAACTACAGTTGGAAAGTTTAACACCTCATTCTCAGCAATTGCTAGAACTACTAGCTGGAAGGTAAAATAGGTTCGAGATTTAGCCATGCAGATATCTGAGGGGGGGAATAGTTCAATCAGCAAAGATAACAAGTAAATCACCCTAGGGTAGGAACATTTCCAGTCTATTTGAGGAACAGCAAGAAAGCAAGTACCATATAGCTGGAACGGACTGAAAAGTGACATGAAAAGAAGCTATAAGAGAGATTTGGAGGGACAGATCTTCCAGGGCCATCTTTGAAAACCACCGTTGTGACTTTGACTTCTGTTCAACCAAGATGGGGAACCATTGGTGGATCTTAAGCCGGAGTTTTGCTGATCTTTTAAAAGGGTTCCTCTAACTGCTGCACTGGGAATTGAGTGGGAGGCAAGAGTGAAAGCAGGGAGTTCAGTTAGAAAGACAACAATAAGTTGAATCACAGTGAGAGTCACAAAGGTGGTAGAAAGTGTCAGGTTCTTAAAACACACCAAGGGATCTGTTGTCCCATCATATTTCATTGTATTCTGCTAAAGGTCTTGATGGTATCCTAGGAAAAAGAACTAGGGAATTGGGAGTGGGAAAGAATTGTATTTCTGTTCCAAAAGCTACCATTAACCCATTTTCTTGTTTTGATTTTCAGGAATACCTCAAGTCCACACCAGTAAGTTCCTAATATATTTTTAGTACATTAGTTCCCTGTAGGGCTGGGATGAGCAAATTTTTTCTATAAATATTTGTAATGTTTTGTGTTTGTTTTTGTTTGTTGGGTTTTTGTGTTTTTTGGTTTGTTTGGTGTTTTTGTTTTGTTTTGAGACAGGATCTTGCTCTGTCACCTAGGCTGGAGTGCAGTGGTGTGATCATAGCTCACTACAGCCTCCACTTCTGGGATCAAGCAATTCTCCTGCCTCAAACTCCTGAGTAACTGAGACTACAGGTGTGCACCACCATGTTTGGCTTTTTCTTATTTTTTGTAGAAACGGAGTCTTGCTATGTTGCCTAGGCTGGTCTCAAAATCCTGGCCTCAAATGATCCTCCTGCCTTAACCTCCCAAAGTCCTGGGATTACAGGCATAAGCCACTATGCTCAGCCAAATATTTTAAGTTTTGTAAGCCATAGAGTCTCTGTCACAACTACTCAACTCTGCTGTTGTAGCACAAATATAGACAATATATAAAAGAATGAGCATGGATATGTTCCAATAAAATACTATTTTAGACATTGAAATTTGAATTTCATATGACTTTCATGTGCCACAAAATATTATTATTATTATTATTTCAACTATTTAAATATGTAAAATTCATTCTTACCTCACAGGACATGCAAAAAGAGCCAACATGCTAGATTTATTCCATGGACTGTACTTTGCCAACTCCCACTCTAGGGTTTAAATACCCTAACTTCACATATTTTCTCTCTGGTAAACAATCCTGGCAGTATTTTTCTTACAATTTCATGTTTTCTTATTATTTTATGCTTTTTTAAAGACAGAGTTTCACTCACCCAGGCTACAGTGCACTGGCGTGATCATGGCCCACTGCATCCTTGACTTCCTAAGCAATCCTCCTACCTCAGCTTCCCAAGCAGCTGGAACTACAGGCACCTGCCACCACACCACACCACACCTGGCTAATTTTTTTTTTTTTTTTTTTTTTTTTTGGCAGAGACAGGGGTCTCATTATGTTGTCCAGGCTGGTCTTGAACTCCTAGGCTCAAACCAGCCACCTGCCTCACAGCCTTCCAAAGTGCTGGGATTACAGGCGTGAGCCACCGTGCTGGCCTATTTTGTGCTTTCTATATTAGGGTTATCAAATAACATCAACATGAGACATATACCTATATTTCAGTGCCTGGTAACAATGATACTTTAAATATTTCATATCAGGCCAGGCATGGTGGCTTACACCTGTAATCTCAGCACTTTGGGAAGCCAAGCCATGTGGATTGCTTGAGCTCAGGGTTCCAGAGCAGCCTGGGCAACATGACAAAACTTTGTCTCTACAAAAATTAGCTGGGTGTGGCGGCATGCGCCTGTAGCCCCAGCTACTCAGGAGGCTGAAGCTGAAGGATTGCTTGAGCCCAGGAAGTGGAAGCTGCAGTGAGCCCTGTTCATACCACTGCATTCCAGCATGGGCGACTGAGACCCTGTCTCAAAAAAATATAGTTTTTAAAAAGTTTTATAGCAAACAATGTCAGTAAATAATGTTAGCACACATCTTCTAAGCAAGACTATTTTATGTCCTATATTTTATAAATTGTAATACTGACATTCTAGACAAAATTGCTAATGATCGATGATAACTAAAGGTGATTTAAAGTAGCTTATCACAAGGTCTCTGTAAACTACAATGGGCAAAGAGAAGGGGGAAGATAATTGAAGTTGCTTCACATTTAATAAATGAAATTTAATTGTTAATGACACAAATCCCACTCAATGCAGAGGCTTAGGGACTCAGAAGAAGGGAAAGCCCAGTACCTACTAATGTGTTTGCCTTTGTCTATTTCAGTGGACAGTTCTGGAAAAATCAGTAAGTTTGGATCGTTTCCTTGCCTTACCTATTTCTGTGTCTAGGACCTTTTTTTCCCAAATGTTCTTGTATTACAAATTCTTCTACCTTAGAGTAGTCAATATTTCTTTAACAAGTGATTTCCTCATATTTCAATTTTAATTCATATCTATTTTCCTTTTGTAACAAAGTAGAATAGTCTTGTGTTTGATTCTAGTTATTTACTACCAAAGATTATTGGCAGCATATACTTCCAGCTAATCTATCACAACACAGCCTATTTCCTCTGTGCTATAATCTGCCAACTAATAATTCTTATGAATAAAGTAATTCCCCTAAGATTGACAAAAAAGAGTATGTGTCAGGACGAGATATGCTTTTGGTAATTGACCAACAATACACATTTTTCAAACTGACCAGAACAGTGAGCAAAAAACTGTTTTACAAAAGACATATACAAGACTTATGAAAGAACAGAGAAAGGTAGAAAATACAGTAGTTTGAATTGCAGTAAAATTGCTATCACCTTCCCCACATTTCAAATCCCTATATTAACTAAGTGGCATCCTAAAAATAACCCTCTCTGTGGAGTGGGATGTGGAGCATTGGCCAGCAACACTCCTGAGGATGAAACAGAGTTTCCTGCTCCTTCCAAATCCTGTTTCTGAATTTACCTAGGAAGAATATTATTGGAAGGTGGGTTCTCCTTGAGTTAGAAAATCCCCAGTGATCTTTCTTTTGTGTTTTGTTTTCAGCACTGTTTCCTGTGGGTAAGTTTCATACTATTCTCAACTGATATTTTACATTGCTTATAATTCTTTTCTGACCTGTCTGTTTCTACTCCCAAAATAGAGGCTTGTGCTTCTAAGGTCATTTTGAAAGTTCCTGCCCTCCAAAAACTTCCAGGAGTTTTCTTTTCTTTTCTTTTTCCTTTTGAGACAGGATCTCACTATGTTGCCCAGGTTGGTGTTGAACTCCTGGGCTCAAGTGATCCTCCCGCCTCAGCCTCCCAAAGTGCTGGAACTGCAGCATGAGTAACTGCTTAGCCCCGAATTTTTAAATAACTACTTTTTAGGAGATTGCGGTAGAGAAGATGAAGTTCATATGAAAGGATGCCACAATCTCTGGCCATCTTCTAGGCTCTGAAAAAGAATCTCCTCCCTGATTCTCAGCAAAACATAATGAAAAGATTGGTTTCTGAGTTCATTAGTTCTTTGCTGGGAATTTAGAACTCTTTTTTAGTTATAGGTGAAGTCCCTCTGAATCATATTAACAGGGTGAAAAACTAGTTAAAAACAAAATCCTATCTACTTTCTGTTGCCTTCTAAATAACTTTACCTTCGAAAGACAGTAGGTATTGAGCACTGACTATGTATTGTGCACTGTGCTAGGCACTTACAAAAGTAGTACCTGTTATTATCTCTTATTCTTACCATATCCCCACCTGGTAGCTATTATTCCACATTTTACAGATTAGGAAACTAACTCAGATATTTACCCAAGGTTAAAGAGTTGGTAAACATTGGTGTCAGGATTTAAACCCAGGATGTCTTATCTCCAAAATACACACTCTTCCCATACCAACACATTGCCTCCTATACTGAATCACAAATGAATTTTTTGTGATTAGTCATGAAACTGTATAAAATGTTTGCAAATACAAATACATATCTAGAGAAAAGCTGGTTAAATGTACACAAAATCCTTTTAAAAATAGAAGACCCCATTTAAATTCATGTTTGACTGTTTTAACTGTTTTCTGAATGCAGACTTCTCTCTATTGGGATTACTTAATACATGGCTCAGCTCTTCAAGCAAGGAAACCATACAAAACAAAATAGAATAATAACTTTTGTTTAATTCTGTAAATATATGATCAAAAGAAGCAAATGACACTTAAACTTAGTGAGACACATTTCAAGCATTTCAAATATTCCAAACAAAGTATGTCCTTATATTTAATTATGTTTAAGCCTCATTTTCTTTCTCAGTTCATACCAAAAAGAGAGTGGGTTTGGAAAGAGGGGATGGCAGGGAGATGAAGTTGGAAGGGGCAATTAATTTCCTTTTATTTATTTATTTTTTTTAATGAATTTTTGCTCTCGTCACCCAGGCTGGAGTGCAATGGCTTGATCTCGGCTCACTGCAACCTCCGCCTCCCAGGTTCAAGTGATTCTCCTGCCTCAGCCTCACAAGTAGCTGGGATTATAAGCACGTGCCACCATGCTGACTAATTTTGTATTTTTAATAGTGACAGGAATTCATCATGTTGATCAGGCTCGTCTCGAGCTCCTGACCTCAAGGGATCTATCCTCCTTGGCCTCCTGAAGTGCTAAGATTATAGCCGTGAGCCACCTGCACCCAGTCAGGACAATTAATTTATTTTGATTCATGGTACAAGAAACAGTATGCATTCAGAATAATCATAATGTGCCTACATCCCTCAAATGCTCTCCTCACATAGAAAAAGTGATAGGACTGTGATCTTGTGAGTTTCTCTCCCACCAAAAAGGTGGGCTCTGATGGTTGATGTTTTATGTCAACTTGACTCAGAAGAACCCTGACTAATACAAGGGCTCTGAGAAGAGATCACAGGCCAAGTCTCTTCCCAGAGGTAAGAATACTAATTTTTTTAAGTTGCCAGAGAACAATCCATTTAATCTTTTTAAAAATATTTTTGTAAAACATATATTCTTATTAATATAATCTTTCAAATACAATCTTCCCAACTGATTTTTTTTCTAGTTCTTTCAAAAAATAGAGATGAGGGGGTCTCGCTATGTTGCCCAGGCTGGTCTTGAATTCCTGGCTTCATGTGATCCTCCCATCTCAGCCTCCCAAGTGCTGGGATTACTGGCATGAACCATTGTATCTGGCCCCAGTTGATATTCTTAGAAAAGGAGGTTAAGGTTTAATCCAATGTTCAAAGAAAGGTTTAAGACAGATTAAACCAACAAACATCATCATCCTAGCAAACTGAATCTCTTATTTCTCACCTCCTCATTCAACTAATAAGTATATGATCTTTTAAAATGTAATTCACAGCCTGAGAACTATAATGATTCATCCCTCTGATACTGTACGGATCTTTTACAGTCTGTGCTCTCCCTGCCAACTACTGAATTAAGAACCTAAGATTAGTTTCCTAATAAAGCCCACATTCTATTTTCTACACTAAGTATCATTTAGACAGAATTGTTAATGTGATATCTATTTCATATCTTTTAGCTTTAACAAAAATTAATCCGATTTTTAAATTTTAATAATTACTTTTTAATCAGCTTGAATATATTACGATGATCGCCAAAGTCTTGATTAAATCTTTTGATTGTATTAGAATTTTGTAGTATGGGCTACTGCCTGCAATAAATGTACTTGCAGCCAGGGCTTACAAGTCTTTACAATATGAAAGATTCACATTTTAAGTATAGGATGATTATGAGGTCCAAGAGAAAGAAAAGATGTATGAACTATCTTGAAATCTGGGAGAAGGAAGAAAATAACTTAGAATGTAGTAGAATAATAATTTGTGGCTTATTTCTGCAATGCCAAGTTGAAATAAAAGTAAACCTCACTTTATGAGATAGCTGGATTCCTCAGAAGTAAATCTTGAAGGCGGGGCACGGTGGCTCATGCCAGTAATCCCAGCACTTTGGGAGGCCAAGGTGGGCAGGTCACGAGGTCAAGAGATGAGACCATCCTGGCCAACATGGTGAAATCCCGTCTCTACTAAAAATATAAAAAAACTAGCCGGGCATGGTGGCATGAGCCTGTGGTCCCAGCTACTCGGGAGGCTGAGGCGGAAGAATGGCTTGAACCCAGGAGGCGGAGGTTGCAGTGAGCTGAGATTGTGCCACTGCACTCCAGCCTGGTGACAGAGCAAGACTCCGTTTCAAAAAATAATAATAATAATAATTAAATTAAATTTTAAAAAAGTAAATCTTGTAAATCTAATCTATGTTAATTAAATTCAGGACTTAAAAGACGACAGCAAACATTAAAATAAGGGTATGACGATTCTGTTAGAATTAACTAGAGGTACTTTTTCAGTGTAGTGAGAGAAAGAATAAAAATTGTTTAAATTCTGTGAAATTAGGAAAGGTGTAGCTAAAATAAACGTTGGGTGCTTCAGGAATTCCTATAATATTTAATTTTGGCTTACAAAATCTATATAATGTAGAAAGTAACTTTAGGTTAAAATGAGTCATGTAGTATTACACACAGTAGCAAATAATTACCCCCAAGAAATAGTAAAACTAAAAATATTCATAGCTTAAGAAAAATCAGCTTTTCTGAGGAGTACATTCCATGAAATTCTTAAGGTTAGAGGCTTCAGTGAAAAAGCATGATCTTACCATTCCACACACCACACCCCCAAACAAAACAAAACAGTGTCCACTGGTAGCACTGTCAAAGATCAAAATATTCTGAACTATTTTTCTCAATTTAGCAATGCTTGAAATATATTACCACTGATTTTCATTAGGAAATAGAAAATTGGTTTGTCTAGAGTAAAATGTCAGTAATCCTATTTTAGTGAAGAACTCTAGGAGGGAAATATGCAAAAAGGTTCCAAAAGCATTATTGTAAGTTTTCTAATGTTATTTTTATTTGGATGTCAAAAGCTGATAATTAAAAAAGAAAACACTGAACTACAACATCCCTTTTGTTTATAATTAATTTCTTACCTAATACAGGTGTGCCTCATTTTTATAATTGATAAAATTCTGAAGTTCTGTGTATACCAATTTTTCAAACATCGAACCCTAAATGTAAAACACAAAAAGTCTGATAATTCATTTTTAAGCAAGAAATTTTCCTGTAATACAATTAACCATTCCTCTAAGTTATTTGTTGGAAACTAAGAATGCCTTATCTTGATTGAATCAGGAATTTTTTCCTCTACTATCTCATTGGGAAGTAGTAATGGCAAGTAATGGGAAGTAGTCAATATTTATTGACTACTTATTATGTCCCATGCACTGTACCAAGTGCTTTTACTTAGATAACATTATTTGATCTCATAACACCTCTTTGAAGTAGCTACTACTATTGCTGCACTTTACAGATAGAAAGTTTGCCAAATGTCACCCAGCTAGGTGGGTGTGGAGGCAGGATTTGAACCAATCTGTCTCCAAAGGCTATGTTTCTTTAATATTTGTCTACAATATTTAATAACTTTTAAACTCTTCAAGTGAGATCAAACTAAATATAAGAACAGTGAGTCTTTGAGGGTTAACAGATTTACCTTAAAACCCATGAAACCCAGCTAGCCAGCTAGCAGGAAGAGTAAACTTCTTGTTGTTGTTGTTGTTGTTGTTTGAGATGGAGTCTTACTCTGTCACCTAGACTGGAGTGCAGTGGCACGATCTCAGCTTACTGCAACCTCTGACTCCCAGGTTCAAGCAATTATCCTGCCTTGGCCTCCCAAATAGCTGGGATTACAGTGTATGCCACCATGCCTGGCTAATTTTTGTATTTTGAGTAGAGACAGGGTTTCACCATGTTGGCCAGGCTGGTCTCCAACTCCTGACCTCAAGTGGCCTGCCCATTTCAGCCTCCCAAAGTGCTGGGATTACAGGTGTGAGCCACCACCCCCAGCCCAAGTCTTCTGATTCAGCTTTTATATTCTGTATTCTTTCTACTATATTAAATATTAAATATTATATTTTCTCAAAGCAAGATATGCCTCTGCTCCACAGCAAGAGCCCACACAACTCCTTGGTGGTTCAAATATTTCTTTTTTTTTTTTTTTTTTTTTTTTGAGCCGGAGTTTCGCTCTTGTTACCCAGGCTGGAGTGCAATGGCGCAATCTCGGCTCACCGCAACCTCCGCCTCCTGGGTTCAGGCAATTCTCCTGACTCAGCCTCCTGAGTAGCTGGGATTACAGACACGTGCCACATGCCCAGCTAAATTTTTTGTATTTTTAGTAGAGACGGGGTTTCACCATGTTGACCAGGATGGTCTCGATCTCTTGACCTCGTGATCCACCCGCTTCGGCCTCCCAAAGAGCTGGGATTACAGGCTTGAGCCACCGTGCCCGGCCCAAATATTTCTTTTACTTAATTCAGAGAACCATATTACCTTTTTTCTTTTTAAAAAAAAGCGAATAAAAAATATCTAGCAGAAGCCAATAAATTCATGTTTGTGAAATCACACAGGAATTGAGGCATAACAGAGCTGATTTACCCAAACACGATCAAAGGACCTGAAATTTTTGCAGAGTTAGCAGATATTGCAAGAAACAGTCTGTGATAATGGTCAAAACTGAACTCTGGAGTCAGACTATTCAGGTTCAAATCCCAGCTCCACCACCTACTGATTATATAACCTTATTCATATTCACTTAAGCGTTCTGTGCCTCAATTTCTTCATTTGTAAAATGAGGTTAATAATACCCTACCTGGTTGTTGTACCAAATGATTTAATACATAAAGTGCTCAGAACAGTGAGCACTTGGTATATGGTAAGCACTTAATAATTATCAGCTCGTACTTTGTTAGTTTTGCATAATAAGATGCTTTTATTCAATATTGAAAGTATATTTAAGTTTCCTTTTTCTATTATGACAAATATAATTATTACTTCTTCCCACAATTTTTCCTCAAAATAAGTTCTTTTTCTTTTCAGAATACATCCTCTGTCAGCCACTAAGCATTATTCATTAGCCATAATCCACTGAACAAATATCAGTTCATTTACAGTATAGTTTACCTTTTCTCTCATTAGTCTTCCAAATTATCGAAAATAGTCCAGAATTTTATTGATACTTTCATAATTTTATGTATAGAGAGCCATCATTTTAGATAACTTGAGATTCAGAAAAGTTTCATTTGTCAGCTTTAAGACAGAAAAAGAAACCAGTGTCAAAGGAAAAAAATAGAAATAAAGAGAAAATACTTGATATCTAAATCACGCCCTTGTGTTGTATGCCCAGTTATATTGCCAGGTTACATGGATGAAGAACTTGCAAAAAAGTCATGTTCCAAAATCCAGATTCTAAAAAGTGGAGACACTGCAAGGTCTCAGAACAGCCGAGAAGAAAACAAGGAAGCACTAAAGAATAACATCACATTTATGAATTCTGTTGAATGCTTGATAGCAACACACATAAAGGAGCCAAAAAGAGAAGGAAAAGGCACTGATTTAGAGAAAAACAAGATAGGAATGAAGGTCAAGGTAGACAGTGACACTGGAATACCAACAAGACAGAAAACCCATCTAAAAAACAGTGAGATGAATGTACCAAAAGGACAGGGAGCCCAAATAAAGAAGAATGAGTCGGGTGTGCCAAAGGGACAAGAAGCCCAGGTAAAGAAGAGCAGGCCAGTTGTACTGAAAGGACAGGAAGTCCAAGTACAGAAGAGTGAGATGGGTGTGCCAAGAAGACCAGAGTCCCAAATAAAGAGGAGTGAGTCAGGTGTGCCAAAGGGACAAGAAGCCCAGGTAAAGAAGAGCAGGCCGGTTGTACTGAAAGGACAGGAAGTCCAAGTACAGAAGAGTGAGATGGGTGTGCCAAGAAGACCAGAGTCCCAAGTAAAGAAGAGTGAGTCAGGTGTACTGAAAGGACAGGAAGCCCAAGTAGAGAAGAGTGAGGCAAATGTATCAAAAGGAGAGGAAACCCAAGAAAAGAAGAGTGAGTTGCAGGTACCAAAAGGACAAGAAGGCCAAGTAGAGAAGAGTGAGGCAGATGTGCCAAAGAAACAGGAAGTCCCAGAAAAGAAGAGTGAGGCAGGTGTACTGAAAGGACCAGAATCCCAAGTAAAGGACACTGAGGTGAGTGTACCAAAAGGACGGGAATCCCAAATGAAGAACACTGAGGTGAGTGTACCAAAAGGACCAGAATCCCAAGTGAAGAACACTGAGGTGAGTGTACCAAAAGGACCGGAATCCCAAGTGAAGAACACTGAGGTCAATATACCAAAAGGACCGGAATCCCAAGTGAAGAAGAGTGAGTCGGGTGTACTAAAAGGACAGGAAGCCCAAGAAAAAAAGGAGACTTTTGAAGATAAAGGAAATAATGGTAAAGAAAAGGAAAGACATGCAGAGAAAGATCCAGATAAAGAAGAAGAAGGTGATAAAAACACAAAAGGTGATGAAGGAAAAGGCAAACTTAAAGGAAAGAGAGAATCAGAAATCAGTGATGAAAAATCAGAAGACTTGAAAAGGGCAAAGGCAAGTAAAGGAAGGAAGGAAGACAAAAAAGTGGAAGAATAAGGAGAAAGTTTTTAAAGGCCTGTAAGACAAGTGATTATTATGATTTCCATCCTCCGGATAAAAACTATATCCCAGCCATTGCCTAAACAGATTATAATTATAAAATCCCTTTCATCTTCATACCACAGTTTCTGCTCTTCAGAAACTTTTAATCTCATTTGTTTTGTAACTTCATACACAGGTGATTCGGTCAGGAAAGACTGGCTACTTTCTGAAGTAAAACATTTTAATTAAAGAAATGTATAGTAATTTCCTTTGACAAGTATGTCTATGAAAGCCTCCCCAGCCAATCAACCAATAACTTCCCATGGCAAGCCTAATGTTTGCAAGGCGCTGGTCTAGCAATAAGGCGTGTACAGAAAAACACAAGTCAGAGTTCCTGTGATCAAGTAGCTTATAACTATATAGTCATACAAGTATACATGGCAATTTTTTAAGTAAAATCTAAGTTACAAAAGAATAGATGGACAACATAATCCACCGTGGGATGAGAAAGTCAAGGTGATAACTTCATGGGGAAGGGAGTAGTGGTATACAGCGTATCACAGCAGATAGATAAGATGTTGATATGCTGAGTGAATTACAAACAGTAAAAGAAAGGCAAAGGGTAAAGTATCACTGTCTACCATGTCCAGGTGAAGTAGGCAATTCTGCTGTTATGGCAGACTCATGGCAGGCATCTTGGGGTATAATTCTGAAAATAAGATTATAAAGGGATTTGAAGAACAAGCCAGGAATTTATATTTTACTTTTCAGGCAACTGGAAGCATTCTACAATGTTGAGAGGCAGAGTGAGATGAATAAGGTGGTAACTGTAAGGTCTACTGCTGAGTTAAATGAGGAAATGAGGCCGGAATAAGAAAAGTAAAAGCCAATTTATTCAGCTCCCTGTCGAGGTTCTATGGTCCAGGAAAGCGGCCAGAGAAGTCGCCACCAGTTGTGGGGTTTTGTGGGAAGGGGAGTTAATTTATTGGCTTTTGAGACACAAAGTGAAGGCAGCTTTATTGGCTCTTGGGAAACAGGATGTGCATGGAGTGAGCTGTCATTGGTAGGTGGGCAGGACTCTGGGTAAGTGGGCCTTGATTGGCTGTTGGGGAAACAAAGCGAAGGCAGCTTTATTGGCTCTTGGGAAACAGGATGTGCATGGAGTGAGCTGTCATTGGTAGGTGGGCGGGACTCTGGGTAAGTGGGCCTTGATTGGCTGTTGGAGAAACAAAGCGAAGGCAGCTTTATTGGCTCTTGGGAAACAGGATGTGCATGGAGTGAGCTGTCATTGGTAGGTGGGCAGGACTCAAAGGTAAGTGGGCCAGGAGCTATTGGGCAGGGTTTGTTGGGGCTTCTCTAAAATTTCTTTGGCAGGGTGTTTCAAAGGCGGGCTGGGGTTGAGCGCTTAGTTTGGTGCTGAATGTAGATCTGGGTGCAGTAGCAGGGGTGGATGTGGGGAATTCACGTGGAGAAGCCAGATGCGGAGTAATGTGCCCAGAATGATGACGCAGTTATCAGGAGCGAGCAGGGATGAGTATGTCCGTGTAACTCCCTGCGAAGCAACCCGCCTTACAGTAACATTTTAAAAATAGTTACTCTTGTGATTGTGAAAAATAAGATTGAAAACAAGAAACATCATAGGTAGTAAATTTAATTAAGAAGTCCTTGGAGTAAGTAAATGGAAAAAGAATAAATAGAAGAAAATTCAAAGAAGAATCACTACTTCATGACTGCAGAAGAGTAAGGAAAAGAGAAAAACACAATGGTTTCAAAACTTTTGACACTAGGTAACAAACAAAACGGAGATAGTTTTTGGACAGGGAGGGAATAATAAATTGTTGTTTTAAGGGAAAAAGCAATAATATTTATCATTCAAGAGAGATCTGGAGTTAGAAAAATAGAGGTTACAATTGAAGCCATTAGAGCAGGCGTCCCCAAACTTTTTACACAGGGGGCCAGTTCAGTGTCCCTCAGACCGCTGGAGGGCCGCCACATACTGTGCTCCTCTCACTGACCACCAATGAAAGAGGTGCCCCTTCCTGAAGTGCGGCAGGGGGCCGGATAAATGGCCTCAGGGGGCCGCATGCAGCCCATAGGCCGTAGTTTGGGGACGCCTGCATTAGAGTGAGTTCTTCAAAGGAGAAAATACAGGACTTAGCAAAAGCAGAAGTCCAAGGACTGAGTTTGTTATATGTAATACATTGAAGAAATTAAGGGATAGGAAGATATAAGGAAAATCTGCATAATGGAATGTTCCAATAATCAAGGAAGATTAGAGTTTTGAGGCAAAATGAGTGATTAAAGGATAGGTGAGACTTCAAGGAAAGTAAGGACTGAAAGAACACTGTAGCTGCTATTTGGAGATGACTAATGAACTTGCAAAGAGCACTTTCCAAAGAAAAGTGAGGAGAAGGAAGGTAAGCAGAAAGAATATAGAAATACAAGTAAGTAGTTGTGGGATGTGTCTTTCAAACATCCAAGAGAGTTAATTTATTTTAGTCTATTTTAAAATAATCATTTTTAGAAATTTCATTTTTATACTGTTCTATTCTGTGCTGGTTCGTCCGGACCCTGAATATTACATTGAATTCTATCATGGGATGTGGATAATGAAATGCCTTCAGGAGAGAAGACTCAAGTGAACAGGAAGTTGCAGAATTCCCTGGGAAAACAAATATGAGGAAACAATGAGACTTACTTTCAAATAGGTTAAAGTTCATAATGGATTAGAATGTTTTGTATAGCCCCAAAAATAGATCAATAGAAGGTACAAAGTAACAAATTTTATCTTATAAATAAGGAGAAGTGGAGGCCCAAAGAGTTTAAGCAAGAGTTTAAGGTTCATTCAGTGAGAATGCTACAGAGGAGAGTCTCAGGAAACCGCTGAGTAATTAGAATAAATTATCTTTATGGTCCCTTCCAAACAGGCTTCCTGAGAGTCTGTAATTCTAATTATCAAATTATTTGAACTAACTAGATGTCTTCCAGTTTCATACTGATCTGCAATTCTTTGGAGACCGTTTGATGAAAAAAGGAGAGAAACCAGGCATTAGTCTCTGCCCAAAGTATAAAATGTTTCATTAATGTTTCAAGCTACCTAACCACAACCTTAAAAGGGTAGCTCCACAATTTCTAGCACAATCTAATCCACTGGATGGCTGTCTACTGTGATCTCACAGCCCTGCCACAGGTATGGATATGTTCATTTTAGAAGTCACAGAATCCTCAGGTCTTTGATCAGCTGCATAGATTTAGCAAAACTGAGTTGCCAGAAAGACAGAGAGAGAGAGAGAAAAGAGGATGGAGGACAGATATTGAACAAGGATTTTTATATTTGTAAATTGCTTCTGTCATCTGTGGAAAATACACATTCAGAGATTTTATCAGCCTTAGTTGACATACCTCTTGCACACATTATGCTGTTACCAGGAAAAATTTTTGACCAGAAGGATTTTCACATAATTAAAAGTGTTAGATTTTTGTCATTCTCATGTCATTTTTTTTTTTCGATGGCTCTCTCTGGTCCATCTGACAGCTAACCAGTAGGTGTTTTGTTTTGTTTTGTTTTGTTTTTTCTCACTCTTCACCCAGGCTGGAGTGCAGTGGCATGATCTTGGCTCACTACAACCTCCTCCTCCTGGATTCAAGCAATTCTCATGCCTCAGCCTCTTGAGTAGCTGGGATTACAGGCATGCACCACCATGCCCAGCTAGTCTTTTTATTTTTTAGTAGAGGCGAGGTTTCACCTTTGGCCAGGCTGGTCTCAAACTCCTGAGCTCAGGTGATCCGCTGCCTTGACCTCCCGAAGTGCAGGGATTACAGGCAGGAGCCACCGTGCCTGGCCACTACTAGGTTTTATAAGGGTATGACTAATGCAACTTCTCTCAGATTTCTGGTAAGAAGCAGAGACCCTGTCAAGGCAATTACTAAAAAAAACAGTAGCTATGCTTCAGCAACCCAGCTCAGCTAACTCCGTATCTGTGTGTATGTCTCACTGAAGCAAGAATTCAGAAGAAAAAGATTTATAAAAACCTCCCTGTATCCAGGGAACATCACACACCAGGGACTGTTGAGGGGTAGGGGGTTAGGAGAGGGCTAGCATTAGAAGAAATAACTAATGTAGATGATGGGGTGATTGATGCAGCCAACCACCATGGCACATGTATACCTATGTAACAAACCTGCATGTTCCATACATGTACCCTAGAATTTAAAGTACCAAAAAAAAGGAAGTAAGGGAGGGAGGGAGGGAGGGAAAGAAAGAGAGAAAGAGAGAGAGAGAGAGAAAGAAGGAAAAAAAAGAAAGAGAGAAAGAGGAAGGAAGGAAGGAAGGAAGGGAAACCTCTTCTCCATAACTTCTAACTTGGGGTCAAAACATTTGCACTCCCACTAGGTCTTCAAAGGCAAGTAAATCATACAATAGAATACTCCAACTATAAAAATTTTGTGAACCATTTTCTAAAGGCCACTGAAAAACAGACCAATTTAAAACAATATTTAACCCTCCTGTAAAGATACAAATGTGGAAATCTTAAAGGACCCCAAAAAAAAGGAAGGGAAAATGACAGCTATCAAAATGACATCATGTTTAACAAAATGATGAAAGTTTTAAGAAAATGCATAAATATGTACTCCTAAGATAGTTGTAATATAAAAGGAATGTGAAACTTACCTTAAGAAACCAATAGCGGTAAATTTTGTTTTGCAAATGAGCTAATACAAATGGCAACGGTCCTCTTCACAAGAATGAATGGAAGTCATACTATTAATCATTTTACATTTAGGAGCAGAACATAGGAAAGAAAAGCAGAAAGGTGAGTTTAGAGATAATGAAGCTAAATGAGAAATACAAAATATTAGGAAGCAGACAATTTATGTAAAATCAGTTAATGTGGCTCCTATCCCAATTAAAGATTCCCTGAGTTAGTGCATTAAAAATGCAATTTCCGGCCGGGCACGGTGGCTCACGCCTGTAATCCCAGCACTTTGGGAGCCCGAGGCAGGTGGATCACGAG